CATACGGGACCTGCACGAATTCAACACTATTTTAGAGATCCAAATAAAACTAAACTAGCTTATTCCAAGCTAGTAATAGTCAAGTTCATCTCTCTGTCTGCCTGAGGTGATGCAAGCAAGCCAAAATTCATCACCAAGCCTATTGATAGAAGGCCCAAAATATTCAATTACTGAGATTATCAAAATGCTTGGTATAGAGTCTTTCTGTTGCAAAATTTCATTTTTAGACATTCATGGTTCATTCGTTTCTCCGAAGACTTTCAAGGCCCATACCCTGACTGGGCATATGTTTGGTGGGCCTCTTGGGGAGCTTCCGATGATATCTTCCCTCACCAAGAGCTCATGGACAAATATAGAGCTTTTGGTAAAGGAAGAGCTTATTTGGAATTCGAGCATGTAAAACAATTCGAGTTCTTCAATACATTTCGACTCCCCTAGATTCTAAAATGAAGTTGTCACCTGGATATTTCTTGGATGCTTCCAACTATTGAAATGAAACTTGAAATAAAATGGTGGGATAAATTTAATCTCATAGACGTCCTCAAGCCTACCTCGGAAGAAGATGACATCTTCCAGCCCATCTTTGAATCCTACATGGACAAGCTTCGAAGTAAGTTCCTAGACTTGGACCCACTAGATCTCGAAGAAATGTCCTTACGAATGGCCGAAAAGATGAAAGAGAAAAGCAAAGGAATCTTGAAAGACCTCGAGACAGAAAGTGTCTACTCTCTCAGTCTGCACTACGGTCATGATACTATTTGAAAATTCCATCTCATCCGAAACAGTAAAAGTATCGATAATTGTTCCTAATAGGACAAGAAGGTGTTAAGGAAGCATCTCAATAATTTAGATGCGCAATAAGAAAAGATAAATGGTATCTCAATTATAGATGCCCTAAAGATAAGATCGAATAAAGTGGTCTCGCTCTAGAAAGCTTGGCCACCTCTATATAAATCACTCTTCTCTCAAGCAAAAGGTGTCCAAGACTTTGGGTGTAAAATTTGATAAAGAAGTCTATAAGTTCTTAAGAGTATTAAGTCATGTTTGAATGTTATTTTAGTGTTGTGAGTGCTTTCTTTCTGAGAGATTTTTTGTAATCTTGTAAGAGTATCTGTTGTTGTACCTGTGTGTGCTATATATCTGTAAGTACTATTAGATCTCTATTAAGAAGTTTTCCAATAATTATATGCTTTATGAATAGAATTTTCTGAGTATTGTTTATCTTTCTACATAACATCTCTCTACATATCATTACTGTTCATAATCGTTTATTATTCTTCATTATTTTCCGTATATATATATATATATATAGAGAGAGAGAGAGAGAGAGAGAGAGAGAGATACACACACTAAAGTAGAAAAATGCCACGTCATTTTAACCTTTCTTGCTCCCTCATGAAGCCACCTCATCACTCCCATCTCTCTCTCTCATAATGAACTATTTAATTAATTTAATTAATAATCAGTATTAATTAACAATATTTCTTTAGTTATTTAATTTATTTAATTAATTAACAATATTAGTAATACATTATTTAACAATATTTATTAATTAATTATGATATTTATTTAATTAAATACCATAATTAATAAAAATACTATTACAAAAAATACATATAATATTGTTAATTAATTAAATAAATACCATAATTAATAAAGATATTGTTAATTAAAGAATTACTAATTAATTATATTAAAATACCATTAATTATTAAATATTGTTAGTTAATTAACAATATTTTCATAAATACTATTTATTAATTAAATAAATTAAATAAGTATTGTAATTAATAAAAAGTATCGTTAAAAATACCATTAAATATGGTATTTATTTAATTATTTAATTTAGGTATTTTGGTAATTTTGGTAAGCTTGAGGGGGATTTTAGTTAATTCATGTTTGTGGAGGCCAAAACAAAATTCTAATATAATGGTGGGTATTTTGGGTTAAAAAATGAAAGGTGGAGATGGATTTGAGTATATACAGTGGTTTTGTGTGTATGAGGCAATGAGAGTGTCTAAAATGGAATCTTTTTATATAGAGGACAAACAAGGGTATTTTTTGTTGAAGTTTTACAAGGTGGGGTTTTTAGCGTCTTGAATTGATTGGTGGGGTCAGATTGGCCTAAATAGGCTCGGATTAGGTAGATATAGAGGGGTAATGATTCCATTGAGATTGCATGTATGAACCAATGAGATTGTCCAAAATGGAATCTTTTTATGTAAAGGGCAAACAAGGGTATTTTTGGCTAAAGTTTTACAAGGTGGGTTTTTAGGCATTTTCAATCAATTAGTGGGATCAGGTTAGCTTAAATAGGCTTGGATTAGGCAGATCTAAAGGGGTAGTGATTCAATTAATTTATTAACTTTGAAACAAAAACTTTGTGTGATGGAGGGAAAAATGATGAAATTTTTTGTTAAAATTTGGCAGGGTGATGTTTTTGAGCATTATGGGTTGACTGGTAGGGTCAGTTTGGCCTAATTGTGTTGAGATCTGGCATATTTGGAAAGGACTTTTTTCAGTAAATGCGAAGCTTTAAAACAAAATCTTGGTGTAATGAAGGGGCAAACAAAGCTTTTTGGGTTGAATTTTTTGTGGGTAGGGTTTTCAGAGTGTCTAGGATCTGATGGAAGCATTTGATTGGTTTTCGAGGGCCAAAATCATAGAAATTTGGGTCAACAAGAGCATATGAAATAGAATATTTGTTCGATGATGGGGCAAATGGATGAATTTTAGGTTGAAAATTTATAGGTAGATGTTTTTGGTGTGTCTATAGTTCAATTGTATGGTTTAATTGATTTAAGTGTTAGGATCAAGGAGATTTGGGTTGTGAGTGCTTCAGGCTAATGTGAGGGTTTGAAAGGGAATCTTGGTTTGATAAAAGAATAAATGGAGGAGAATCTAGGGTTGAAATTTTAGGGGTATATATTTTAAGAGGTCCTAAGTCTGGTGATGGTGTTCGAGGTTTTTTAGGTACTTTGGAAGGATTGGAACAGTTTGATTGGGTGTTTGGGTAAATTGAGGTTTCGATGGCAAAATGAATAAAAATCAAGTGTTGACAATAGGGTTTCTAGAGGTACTGGTCTCTTGTATCATTTGGTGGGGTTTGATTGGTCCATAAATGGAATGATGAAGGGCATTTAAGAAATGGATATCCTGGCCAATGAGATAACCCAAATTAAAATCTTAGTGCAATGAAAGTTTAAATGGGGTATATTTGTGCTGAAATTTTGTGGTAAGGTGTTTATAAATATCTAGGGCTCTTTAAAATCCCATTGACTCTAATTTGCAATTTAGTTAAAAAATCTCGTGCGTTGCACATGTTCCGACTAGTATAAAATATTTTAGACTAAAGAATATGGGAAAATTTCCACTTTTCCATATTAAAAATTATATATATATATATAGTCCATTTGGTTTTTGTCGATTTACAAATAACCAAACCGAAATTGACTCGACCTGGTTAGGTTGGGAAATTGTTGAACTAAAACCTACTAGAAATACTAGAAAATCGACTAACTCGAGTTGAGTTGGGATGTGTTGGTCAATTTCATCGGTTTGATGAACAACCTAGCTGAAATTAATTATTGTTATTTTTGTATTGTAAAAAATTATTAAAAGTAGTATATAAAATATAACTAATTATTAATTATTTAAAAGGATAAAGTATAAAACAATTGTCTACTCTTATGTGCTTTTATTGTTTAGCTTTTGCTTAACAAAGCTCATGCATCGCACGGGTCCCCGCTAGGTGCAACTTGAGTGGGTTGGATCGAGTTGAGGGTCAATCCAATCCTAAGTCTCAAACCTCAAGCTCAAGCTTGGTCCAATTCAAGGTTAATTCTGAGTTTACCAACCTAGGCGCAATTCAACCTTAACTAAGCATCTCAGGTTTAGGAATGGCAATTTCTACACTATCCGGTGGGTATCCACCCCTACCCACCTCGACAGGGTGGGTTTTTCTGTTTAAAGGATGTGTTTTGGGGCAAATCGGGTTTTGGGATTCTATAACCCGCATGTGATGGGTAGGATACAATATTAGGCTAAACCCAATCCCTCAACTTGCATATTGTTGGAAAGCATATAAGCTTTATATACTAGGTAAATGATAATTGATAGTTTATATGTTCTTTTACATCTTAATCAAATAATTGGAAATTTTGTTGTTTATTTATGTTATTTTACTTATTTATTACTTTTATATAACAAGAAATAATAGGAAAGTAGATACGGATTTTGAATACAAGGAGGGTTTTACATTTTCATGTATAGGGAGGGTTTGGATTCTCAAAATCCAACCTGTTAGGCAAATAGAGTCTATAATTTATATTTGATTGTATTAGGTTGGGTTTGAATTGAATACACCCAATTTGCACCTTTAACTCTATTGCCTGAAATTAATTTAAGAAAGCCTGTGCATCGCATGAATCTTGCTAGTTATCATATATAATATTGTATATGTAATGAAATTCTATTAATTCACCTTTTCTGTTAACCAAACTTTCAATTATAAAAATCAAAACCCAAAATCTAAATATACAAAAGCTGGATCAATGAACAATTTTTTTAACCGAATAATAATCACTCCTACTTAATATAACTTTTTCATTACGATAAACAGAAAAACTATATAACTTGCCCCCTAAAAGAAATTTTCTGACTCCATCACTGGGAATATGATAAAATAGGTTTAAATGAGCTCCCAAAAAACTTATGATCTTCGTAGAGAGGTGTGAATAAGTGAGTCTAAAATTTTATAAAAAAAAAAAAAGAAATATGTGAGTCTAAATCACTTACCCACAAAACATGTACAACCCCATCAATTAAACATATTTTAGATGGACGGCTATATAGCATGTTCTGGGTATGAATCCAAAGTCCAAACCTTGGTATATCGAAGATGCGAATAATTCACCTTATAAAAAAATAAAGGAGATAAAGGATCACCTTACAGTGGCCATTTTACAATCTACATATTATCTGTCCTTACAGAGTTGCAGGAACCAGTTATGACAGTTGTTCTCCAAACTTTTGCTTATTCTAATTTGATTTTGTCTTTTTAGCCTGTTCCAGTTTTGCCGACTTTAACAATGGGCTTGGTGTATATTTTTCTTTTCCTAACTTCAACCACGTACTTACACTTTTCCTTTTTGGTAAGCAAATCTAAATCTAGAGTGATCATCCGATAGTCTTGATTGCGATTTGCGATGCTTATGAGTTCTCTAGTAAATACCGGGGAGGGGAGAGAGAGAGAGATTCTTTTTTGCTTTAATAAAAAAAAAAAAAAATAAGAAAAGCGTCGGTTAGCTTGTTCTTTGGCAGAATTAAAGCAAAAGGAAAGCGGCTAGTGTCGAGTGAGAGGAAAAAGAGAGAAATGGATCAAAGTTGGCTTCTCTAATTCTTTTCTTGATGTTGGAGAAACTGAAAGACAGTTGCCCCACTCGAGCAAAAAAGAATAATCCTCTCTCTCTCTCTCAATCAGCCTCTAACAAAATGAGGACTTCCCCTCTGTTTCCCATTTCGCCAAAAGCTCTGTCATCCGCTTATCAGCTGAAACCGAGCTCAACCAGGAGGAAAGAAGAAGAAGAACAACAGGGACGACTCTACGGATGGCTACTCCGCCAGAGATGGCGAGTACCAGTGGAACAAAGAATGATGGGTTGCCAAGAGCCATCTCTCGGAAGATGACGAGGTTGACTACAATGGTCGAGACTCCAGAGGATGAAATTGCACTCGTTCCGCCGTCCCTCTCTGCGATTGTGCCGATTCTTCGCGTTGCCAATGAGATTGAGGCTGAAAATCCGAGGGTTGCCTACCTCTGTAAGCTTCACTTGCCTGGACACTCACATTGTACTCATGGCAGCTCTGTAGTTTTATATGTATTGTAGATGTGGACGGTAAATACAAGTATGAACTTACGGCTTAGACTAGATTGGGGCAATTGTGGGTTACTTTTGTTTTTTATTTTCGCAGTAGAGAAGAATCTGCACTTAATTGAAGCTCACAATATCACAATTGTCGCTGAATTGATTCTTGAATTTAACTGTATTTGAGAGATAGTTGAGGAGTTCATAAGAGTAGGGTCATCCGCAATAATTACTTGCCCAAGAAAAGCAATTAATGCCTGCTAATGATAAATGCTTTGAAGGTAAAAACTGCAGAGACATCCAAATTGTGATGGTATTCATGTTTGCATTTTAATATGGACGATTAATAAGCTGCCCACATTTGAAAATAGAAGTAAGAACTGCCAAGAATTTGTTTTTTTTTTTTCCTCTTTTTTTCTTCAATTTTTATTTATAAGAACAATTTGAACTGCCAAGAATTTGTTGAGTACACCTTGTTGACATCATGACTGAATTAACTTTTCTGAGATGGAGCTGGATTAAATGGGTTAAGTTTTATATGATATAGTCGCATGTTTTGATTTCATTTTCTGTTTCAGAAAACTAGGTGGTTGAACAGCAGAGAATGCTTCTAATAATCTGTTGTTACTACTCATAGACTTATTCCTACGATATTGCTCTGGTCTACATTAAGTTAAAGAAATTATTGAGGTCCACCTCAAGTTAAGAAATCCATATAAATCAATATATGATCTATTCTTGTTGATTCTTATAGAATTGCTTTAATCATCTTTTTAGTCCTTGCTTCATGGCTTTCCATAACACTCACTACATTTAGAATTGTGACTTATATGTAAATATCTTGATCTTTTTTAGGTGTTAGTAGTTTGGTTGTTTATCAAGATGCTCTATGTTTTATATTTTATCTATCTAGACATTTTATAATTGGCATGATGTTTGTGATGATATTATATTGAACTATATATAATACTCATAGAAATGTTCAAACAGGTCGCTTTCATGCATTTGAGAAGACTCACAAAATGGATTCTAAGTCAACTGGACGTGGTGTTCGTCAGTTCAAGACCTACTTGCTACATAGGCTAGAAAAGGTAGCCTGATAACTTTAGACCTTGTATTTCCATTTGAAGGTTATACTTTTCTTTCTTTGTCCAAGGATAGCCTGAAGATTTTGACATTTAATGGAATATGCATCGTTTCTGTCTCATATATTAATTTTTTTCTTGATCAGTAACTAAGAAAAAGATTTTATTAAGATTAAGAGAAAGCACAACAACAAGAAATGTGGAAGACACAAGTAGACACCAGTTGTATTGCTTAACTAGATCATACGCCAGGCTGTTGGCAGATCTTCTAACCCAATTAACTTGAATAAACATGTCCCTAGAGAGCCATTTGAACCGCCTGAGAACATTCCTTAGGTGCCAAGATACTCCTTCCTCCTTTATCCAGTCCACAACTATTTTGGAATCGCCTTCAATAATTAATCTTTCAAGACCCAATTCTTTGTCTCTTTTTAACTCCAAAAATAACTGCCAAGAATTCTGCAGTTGCCACATCACTTTGCTTAATTGGACCTGAGAAGAAAGCACATATGTTTTCTTCCCCATCCCTGATCACCCCTCCACTTCCAAAGCAGTTGCCCAAGAATACATAAGGAAGAGCATGAGGGTCAAGCTTACCACTGGTAGGAGACAAGTTTTGAACAAAACAACGACAACCAAACACACAAATGGGAATAGAAAAGAGGGGGGCTTTAGGGAATAGGAGCTGATGAGGGGGCTTTAGGGAATAGGAGCTGATGAGGGGCCTTGTACCCTAACACACGAGATGGCATACGGTTGATGAGATAGGTAGCACATAACACATCATCCAACCAAAAACGTTTTGGAACACTCATATGGATGAGTAACCCACAAGCCACTTCAAGTAGATGGCAGTTTTTTCTTTTTGCAACACCATTTTGTTGAGGAGTTTTGGCACGAGAGCTACGGTGGATAGATCCACACGAAGCAAAGAACTCTGTGAGATCACTATGGAAATATTCTTTGGCATTGTCAGACTGGAAAATTTGGATCTTTGTCTGAAATTTGGTTTATATTATGTGTTGGAAATCTTTTACGATCTTTAGTACTTCATCCTGGGACCTCATGGGGTACACTCATGTATATTTGGAATAGTCATCAATAAAAGTAATGAAATATTTATAGCCAATTTTAGATGGTAAAGTAACAGGGCCCCAAACATCAAAATAAACAATATGAAAAGGAAATTCCGATTTATTATTTCTTGAAGAAAAATGAGTTCTACATTGTTTGCTCAACTGACAAGTTTGACATTTGAACTCATACACTGACACTGGTTTAAATAAATCTGGAAGTAAGACCTTTAACGGCTCAAACGATAAATGGCCCAAACGACTATGCCATAAGTAAACTTGACTCATACTAGACTGACTCGTAGACTCAATGACTGCAAGAGTAGCTTTGTTCTCCAGCATGTAGAGACCATCCACCATACGACCTCTACCGATCATCTTCCCTGAGTCCAAATCCTGTAGAACACAAGAAGGAAAAAAAGGTCACTGAACAGTTTAATGATTTTGTAATGCTACTGACTGAAAACAAATTTAGAGGTAATTTCAGGACATGTAATACGTTAGAAAGGGTAAGTCCAAAAGGAAGGGTTATGGTTCCTTGACTAGCTATGTTGGAAAAAGAACCATCGGCTAATCTCACTTTGTCCCTACCAGATAAAGGTTGATATGATTGAAAACAATTTAACTTACCCGTCATATGGTTTGAAGCTCTAGAGTCGTTTATCCAAGGGGAATCAAATGAATGGGAAGACACATGGAGGGCTGTGGCAAGATTACCATTACCTGAAGTAGATGCAAAGGAAGTCGAGGCAGGAGGAGTAGAATCCATCTGGCAGACTGCTCTCCCATACAGATCTAAGTGGTCACAGAAAGAATTAATGATATCTTCCTGGGGATTGGCAACGGATGGGTGGTCCTGGTGAATACCAGTAGATGACTGAGGCTCTTGAGAGGCCAAGTTTGTTGTATTGAACTTTTTTTGACTATGCTGTCCTGTCTTCTTATTCTAACTTGATTTCTTGCTAAACTCCTGGGCCAACTTTGGCTTTCCATGGAGGTCCCAATAAGTATCTCGAGTATGTCTGGCCTTCTGGCAATGAGTATACCATAACTTATCCTTAATCATCCACTTTCTCCCAGAAGTCACCGTTCTTAAAGGAATTATTGCCTCTTACACCCATACTCCCTTTAGCCACTAAGGCAATCTGCTCCCTCTCGGAGCTATTCATCACACTTCGTCTGCTCTCTTCGGATTGAACTAGAGCATACATTTCTTGTACTGAAGTAAGATCTTTACTTCCTAATATCTAAACTCTGAGGGACTCATATACAGGGTTCAGCCCCAAGAGGAAGGCAAAAACTCGTTGTTGGGAAACCAGAGACTTGTAGGCCTTAGCATCAGCATCACACTTCCAATCAATGTTTTGATAGAGATCTAGTTCTTTCCAAATTGAGGTCAAATCTGAATAATAGGTTGAGAGGGTCCTCTCCCCCTGCTTACAAGTAGAAGAAGCAACTTGCAACAGGTATATTTTGGCATAATGACGTTGCTCTGAATAGGTAGATTTTGCTTGCTCCCAAATCTCAACACCTGTTTCAGCCCACATGAAGGTCTTCCTGTTTGGAGGTAACATAAAACGTAACAGCCATGGCATCACTATTGCTGCTTTCTTGATCCCACATCCCACCTATCATGCTCTACCCCCTAAGACTTTGGTTCTTTTGTTCTACCATTAATATAGCCTACCTTCCCCCTGGCTGTTATGTATAATTTGATTCCCTTTGACCATTCTAGGTAGTTAAGACCATCAAAAGGTATCACAGCCATGGGGAAACTCATGTCAAATCCCCCACTCACTCCACCTTGACTGGAGGACCCACTAGATAGGATAGAGTCCTCAGATGACATGTTATAGGGTAGTTCTGTTCAAAAACATCAGTTTAGCCACAGTTTATTAACAGTTCAGATTGGTTCATCCAAGTTCAGCCACTGTTCAATTTCAGTTCAGTCACAGTTCAATCTCCAATTCAGTTTAGACACAGTTCAGTCCCCAGTTCAGCCACAGTTCAATCCCCAACCCAGTTCAGTTCAGTCTTAGTCAGGTATAAATCTTAGGGATTCCACACATCTACTGGAAAAATTTCCAAGACATATAATTGATCACTGTCTTACAGTTACAGGGCATTCAGACCTAAATCACCCAATTATTTGGGCACAGAAATGGATCACATGATCCACAAGACTGAAAAAATTCACAGCACTTACAGGTCATTCAGACCTCCATAACCCACTTACTTGGGTACAAAAAAGGACCACACGATCCACAGGAAAAGGTAAAAAAGCCTTCACAGTGTTAAACTTCCCTCTCTTTAATTGTTTCTTGGCACACAACCAAGAGAGAAGGGAAGAAAGAACACATAAACCTTCAGATCCGTCCAATGCACTTCCTTGACAAATTTGATCCACAACAAAGAAGAAACTGAGAAAATTGAAAGAAGAGCTTGATCCCACGGCTTCTAATCCCAGAGAACCCACTTTGATACCATGTTTTCCAAGCTAGAGATATCGGAGGAGAGGAAGAAGAGGAGGAAGGGAGAAGAGAAAGAGGGAAGAGAGAAGAGAGAAGAAAAGATTGGATTCAAAACATGTAGCTGGCGGCGCCAGCTATTAGCTTTTATATTAGGGCGACCCAACTAATAATAAAAGAAAGAGAAATTACAAGAGTGCCCCTTTGGCACTAAAGAACAGAAAAATAAATAAAACTTAAGAGAAGCTAACTGATTTCAACAAATACCAAGTAGAAATCTGCTGAATTAAAAAAAATCTGTAAAAGAAAAGATATTTTCTTGAAGAAGAAGAAGAAGAAGAGATTTGAGAAAGAAAAAGAGAGCTTAATTCTGGCCTCCCCCTTCACTAGTATTTATATTAAAAATATAAAGTGGAGTACAATGACTAATATGCCCTTATAGGGCGACAAGCATCTAAAAACACATAAAAGACTTAAGAAACAATCAGCAAAGGACCTAACATAAATGCTGTGGTCCCCGCTTCCTATCTAACAATAAACATATAAAATTTACTGTTAAATCTACACAAAACTGATTAAATCCTCAACAAAATCAATCTTTGCAACCATAGGAAATAGACACCTTGATTTAGGGGATCTAGATTGGAACACAATATCTGAGACACAAGCAATTTCTTAGAAAGGAATTTCACTGTGGAGAAGGTTCACGAAGTAGTGGTCTCAATGGAAAAAAACTAAAGCTTCAGGACTTGATGGTTTTTCTATGGCATTTTATCAAGATTGTTGGGAGATAATAATAGATGATTTGATGGAGGTGTTTTTTGAATTTCACTAGAAAGGGAGAATCTCACCAGGAAACAATGCTACCTTCCTAGCTCTAGTGCTGAAAAAGAAAGAGGCTAAAATCCCAAAAGACTACAAACACATTAGTCTCATAGGAAGCCTTTACAAGATTATTGCTAAAGTCTTGGCAGGAAGGTTGAAAAATGTTTTGCCTCAGTAATTTCTCAAAATCAAGGAGCCTTTGTGGAAGGGAGACAAATTATAGACGAAATCCTAGTGGCAAATGAGTGTGTCTAAAAAAAGAAAATAGGGGGAGAGAGGCCTAATTTGCAAGTTAGACTTGGAAAAAGCCTATGATATGGTGGAATGGTTCTTTCTTCTTGACCTTTTGGAAAAGTTTAGCTTGAGAGAGATGGAGAAAGTGGATTAACGGGTGCATTAGCTTAGTGCATTTCTTACTTTTGACAAAAGGAGTAGCCATGTATTACTTTCCGGTAAAAAGAGGTTTAAGACAGGGAGACCCCATTTCCCTATTCCTATTTACTTTTGTTGCTGAAGCTCTTAGTAAACTGATTATTAGGGCTGATCTAGAAAATCAGTTTAGGAGGATTGGAAGGAATGAAATTGTTGTTGCCAATCTACAATTTGCAGGTGGCATAATCATCTTTTGTAAGGGTTGTGATGATTCTAGTGTAAGAAACCTAAAGGCTTTAGTAAATGGGTTCCAAAGGACCTCAACTTAGAAAGTGAACTGGGGTAAGAGCTGTGTGGCAGGAGTCAACATGGAGGAACAAGAAACTCAAGTAGTGGCTGGTATACTAGGTTGTGAGGTTTGAACTTGGCCTCTACAGTATCTTGGACTGCCCTTGGGGGGGGGGGGTAATATGAAAGCAGAAAGCTTTTGGAAACCGGTCGTAGAAAGACTTCCAAAAAAAATCAGCTTTGTGGAAAAGAAACTATATATCCCTGGGGGGAAGAGTCACCTTGATCAAGTCCACCTTAGCCAATTTGCCTACCTATTACCTATCCACCTTAAGAATACCATCTAACATAGCAAGCAACTAGAAAAGTACATGAGGGACTTCATGTTGGAATCGGGTGAAAAGAAAAAGACCACTTGATAAAATGGGAACAAGTGTGCAAACCAAAAGAGTTGGGAGGCCTTGTTATTGGAAACATAATCAAAAGAAATACATCCCTCCTAGGAAAGTGGCTTTAGAGGTTCCCTTTAGAAGGAGATAGGTTGTGGTATAGGGTCATTGAAAGTATTCATGGTGTGAAAGAAAATGGCTGGGAAGCAAAGCTGGCACCTCATGTTTCTTCAAATCCCCATGGAAAGAAATTTCAGAGGTACTACCAACTTTTCTCACTTACACTAGGTTTGATGTGGGATGTGGGGAGAGAATCTTATTTTGGGAGGATCTATGGATTGGGGACCAACCCCTCAATTTGCGGTTTCCTACACTTTACTCTTTCTCCAATCACAAGGCTGAACCTATTTCTAAATTTGGACTGCCTTTGGAAACTAGGTTGAATTGGGATTTTGGTTTTAGATGAGGCTTAAGGGATAGTGAATGTGAGTCCCTTATTCTCCTACTTACAAAACTGGAATATGTCTTTCTGGATCAAAATACTTCAGATAGTATAGTTTGGGCTCCATTGCCTGATGGCTGTTTCACTTGTGCTTCTTTCTTTAACATTCTTGTTCTAACCCAGCCTGGGTGGGGGTGGGGGGTCAACTTCCTGGTAAATGAAATCTGGTGCCAACCTATCCCTCCTAAAGTACAAGCTTTTTGTTGGGAAGTTTTCTTGGGAAGATCAATCTTGCTACAGAAAAGAAGGACAAATAATTGCCTTTCTCCTCACATAGTCACATGTGTTTCCTTTGCAAGGAGAGTAGTGAGACTCTCTCTTGTCTATTGCTCTCTTGTTCCTTTGTATTTGGGAATACTCTTCGGTAAGAAGAGTAAATCTAAGGAGATACTGATTAAGTCATAACAGTTTGGACAACACACTGGGTAAAGAGTAAAGACCATTGACCTTTTCTGTGAGTTCTCAACCAGTGTATTTTAAGGGCTTGGACTGTTGTGGCGCAATCAGATAGACCTGTAGAAAAAGTGCAGATGGAATGGAGACCTCCAGCTGGGAATAGTATGGAATTGAACATTGATGGCATCTCGGTGGGCAACCCAGGAAGAGCAGGCATAGGGGGTGTATTCAGAAATAACTGGGGAGAGGTAGTGGCCCTGTATTGGGTCCAATTGGCTTTGGAGATTCAGTTCAGGCTGAATTATGGTTTCTGCTACAACGGATGAGGCTTGCTGTACAACTTGAATTCAAGGAACTGGAAATTGAAGGAGACTCACAATTAGTCATTGCTTGGACAAAGAAAATCAATTCAGCCCCTTGGAAATACAGTCAAACTTTTGGGGAAATTGATGCCCTAGCAAAAAGATTCAACGCGACTTTCAGCTGGGAAGGACTGCTGAAACAAGGAATTGACAGACCTCTTCTATTTTGGGCAAAACTGTAATATGATGTAATCTGAGATGGAGAAATGATTTAATGACTGTACTAAATTTTATGAATTATTAATGAAATTCAACATTTCCACGGAAGTAACACCTGCTTGCCATTTGAATCCCTCTACTTTTAAATGATCTTGGGTATGGATTTGTGGTCTCCAAGATCCCCTGCAGAAATTTTCTTTTCATGGCCAGTTTTGAATGGAACTAGAAATCATAATTGGTTTGGTCGTGTGCTTTTGTGGTCCGTAGGGAACTGTAGAAGGAGAGGAATAGAAACAAAGAAAAGCTCTGGTCAAGAAACAAAGAAAAGCTTTGGTCAATTATTGGAAAAAGAATTCTAGATTGGGTCTTGATTCTTTCAGAATTTTTGGGTGTCAAGATCTTCATTTGGAATTGATTATATATCTTCTTTGAAAATGGATTTGAGGGCTTGATGTATTGTATCTCTCTTCTTTTTTGACAAGTTTATATTTTGTTTGGGTGATTCCTCATCACCTCTTTGATAGTTTGATTGTACTCTAAAGCCTTTTATCTTTTAATGAACTTTATTTCTTATTTATTAACAAAAAAGGGTCCCACACCTTTTGAAGTACGTACTTTTTTTTTGAGAAGCGGAGGTGATCACATTTCTTATGAAGAAGCCCTCTGGTGGGCTTTGCTTTATAAATCTTATAACATCTACTACCTGTATTCAGCAGTAAAATTTGATGCAGATTTCATAGCTGTGTATTTATAGATGGGTCCCTAGGTTGACCAATGATCTAGCTGACTCTCTTATAATGGATAAGGTTAGCAGAAGAGATCTTCTATGGGGGCACCAGGTTTGGGGGTTCAAATATGAGGCAATAGTGTTCTATTGTTTATTTGTGTATGGTCAGATTGTGCTGTGTAATTGTCTCCCCCGGCTCAGTTTTTAAGTTGGTTCTTGATAAAAAAAAATCTTTGATTATTTTTAGTGATAAAAAAATTGTATTGAATTGAAGCTTGAATTTCAAGTATTACATATATTAAATATGTCAAGATCTATTTGGTGGCAGGAAGAAGAGGAGACAAGTTATCTAGCAAAAAATGATCCAAAGGAATTACAGAGATTCTATCAAAAGTTCTATGAAGAGAGAGTCAAAAAGGACCAACATAAAAGACAACCGTAAGGCTTTACATTGAATAAATTGATTTGTTCAAATTTTTATCTGGACATACCTTTGACTGTTCTGAAGACCAGAACAAAATATCATATTTATTATGCTTATCTCACTCATATTCTTGCAACCTATTGTAGTGCGGAGATGGCCAAGATCTATCAGATTGCTACAGTGTTGAATGATGTACTGAGAACAGTTTTACCTCTAGAGAAGGCTGAAGATCTGGTCTGATTTGCATAATTATTCCATAGCCATATAAATGTTTTTAACATTTTTCACACTTGGAAATGTATACAAAGCTGAAGGAAACTAAATTGCATACTGTATTTGCAGATAAACAGATATGGCAAAGAAGTTGAAATGAAGAAGGAGCATTATGCACCTTATAACATTCTTCCCTTGTATGCAATTGGCACTAAACCAGCTATTATGGAATTTCCTGAGGTTAGATATGTGTTTCATATGTTTTCTCAATTGTATCTGCCTGATCACATTCGTTCTTTATTTTGACACGACTGAGCTTCATTTTTTTTCACTGGAAGCACAGATCAAAGCAGCACTCAATGCTTTACGTAAGGTGGATCATCTTCCCAAGCCAAGTGTTCAGTCACCATCTAATGATGCAGAGGACAGAGATAAATCTATCAATGATTTGCTTGACTGGCTTTCGTTATATTTTGGGTTTCAGGTAATGGCATTGGCAGTCAAATTCCCTATTGATGCAATGTTTCATTGTTGCTTTACATCAACAGATCAATCATCAATATATTTACTATTTTGCTTAATTCTGAAAGTGTGGTTCCATGATGTTTTCCTTTAGAGTGGTAAGGTGTCCATAACAATGAACCAAAATATCAATCTGCTATGTGCACAATCATTATTCTAAAACTTAAAAATTTTACTTGCTAACTGTTGATTCAAATTGATCTTTTACTCTGTCAAATTAATTCTACTATAACGGTTGATTCTAGTTTATAAATAAAAAGTAAAGAAGAAAGCTGAAGAGAAGAGAAAAAGGAAAAGAAGGTGCAAGCTAGCTTGCTGGTAAAGTCTTTGGTTGGTTGTAACAGAGACTTGGGATGGAATCCTGTCTTCACCAGAAGGTTGTGGCGGGGCAGCCCCTTGTTGAGCCACATGGAGCAACATGAAAGAAAAAAAGGGGGGGGGGTGTGAGAGAAATTGGTGGTGAGAACAAAAACTGTTTCTTTCCTCAATGAACTGGTATAGAAAGATAGGAAGATCTAATAACATGGGTAAAATGATAATACCACACATACATAAAGCTGGCACATAATCTTTAACTAAAATGATATAAATAACTTGCTTGCACACCCTACCCACTTGCACACCCTCTCTCTCTCTCTCTCTCTCTCTCTCTCTATATATATATATATATATATATATAAAGTCGAAATGATAGTGTTGAAGCTCCTGGGCCTCCCTTTCAATCTCTGAGCGGTAAGAAGGTTCGAGAGTATTGTGAATGCCATTGGAGGGACTCTGGTTAATTTTGATATTCAGGATCTTCGTGCTGCAAGAATTGGAATCACAAGGGTGTGTCCTGAAGCTATACCCAGAGCTGTGAAGTTGCAAGTGGATGGTCATTGGCACAGGGTTTGGATTGCGTCAGAAACTGAAGCATCGCTTTAGAGGACCAACAGAGAGCTTGAGGAAGATGATGACGTGGCGAGTCGGCTCCCAGGTGGAAGAAGAGGAGAGGGAGTGTGGGGAGCTTGAGATCAGGGGAGTGGAACTGAATCGGAATGTTGGAATTCTGTGAATGAGTCTTGTCTGCTCTAAAGTAGTTATGAAGAAGACAGAGCGGTGGTGCTGAGAATAGATGGGCGGGGTGGGTCTTATCCATCGGGTTGTTGATTCAGGTCGTGGGGGTCGATTGGCCCAAAAAGAGAAAGGTCAAGGCCAACTAATGTAAACAACCCACCTCCTTTGCACGTGACCTCTAAGGAGTTGAGGTGTTGAGTTTAATGGACGATAACTCTGGTCCATTTTCTTCCCCTTTGAGGACTGTTCATGTTTCTCATCTAAGTTTCAGGAGACCAAAAAAGAAATTTTCATGGGGCTGGCAGGTCAATGGAGGTAGAATGATGAGGAAGGATATGACCATGGTTTTGAGGGCAGAAAAGGTTATAGCTTTTAAACATAACATTTCAAGAACCTTTGGCAGCCATGGCAAGAGGAAGAAGGAGTCTAGGGAGTGGGTGATTTTGAAGTTCATGAGCTTGGAAAATTTAAGTCATTCTAATGGTTTGAAAGTTAAAGCATGTTCAGAGAAGATAGTCCCCCAAGTTTTACTATGGGATACTGAAGGAGGCGGTTCACAAAGAGCTACTGTCAAGGACTTAACCGTTAATGCCAAGAAAGATTTTTGTAGAATATCAGATGGGGTAGAGTCTGGTGATGGAATGTCAGAAAGTGTCGAAATGGAAGAAAATTCTGGTAAGGAAGGAAATCCTAGAAAGGATATGTGTTTCATCGCCTTTGAGAATAAGACTATCTCCTTTGATTCTAGCAGCAGGGATCTGAATCAGGATTTGGGAAGTGAGTCAAGGGACGCGATATCTAAGGAGTCTAAAGAGGCAGGTTTGGCAACTTTGGTCTTCGTTGGAAAGTTGGGGGTGGACTTAGGAAGGAGAAGAGGTGAAGGTGTCTCAAAGCTGTCTAATTCCGAGAACCCCATGCAGGGGAGTTGAGAAGATTAAGTGGATCCAGCAATGGGCAGCTTTTTCATCATCTCAAGGGAGGATTGGTCAGGGACGGTCCCTGCTGTAGATTCAAGAGAATGTACAAGAGGAAAGGAACTAAAGCTAAATCTAGAGTCCTGAATTGTTTGAAAGACAGAGGACATGCATACTGTTTAGAGGCTGATTCAAACAGAAAGGCTCAGGGCAGAATTTCAAATATTCAAATTGATGAAGCATCTATAGGGGAGAGGGAAAAACGGAATATGATAAAGTCCTCTGAAAGGAATTTGGAGGAAGAGAAAGATGTTGGGAAGAAGGTTGTGAAGGAGAAGACTGTTGATTCAGGGGTGAAGATTGTGAGAAATGGAACGTCAAAAGATTCTTTGGAAACCGAAGTCCAAGACGAGGCTGGAGAGGAAAGAAGAGAATGGGAGAGGGAGATAGAGGGGAATAAAGTTGAAGGAATCCCCGAGGTAAATAGCTCCGAGAAAGGAAAGGGGGCATTGATCAACTAGTAGACAGACAGATAACTGTGGGGAAATCTCTTGCCCTTTTCTTCTTGGGGGGAGAAGCGGTGGTGAGGAAGGCAATCAAACACTTTGAACAAAATAGAAGGCAGGAAAATAACAAGAGGAAAGCAACTGGGGAAGGGGGTGAGAAATGGGAGGCTTTAAATCTCGTTGATGAAGAGTGAGGGGAAATGTTGGTAATGTCATAGGTGAAGGGAGAGATCTGGAGTTCATTTGGCAGCTTTGAGGTGGTGCTTGGATTCAATCAATTTTCTCAAGAGATTGATTCAAGATATGGGTTTTCGCTTCTTTTTGTATTCTAGTTTGGGGTTGTAAGATGTTCAGGGGTCTTATTGTAGGGGGTGGGGTGTACATGGGTCAGCCTCCATATTTTCAGGCCAAAGAAATTGAGGAGAAAACTTGCCGCCTTAAGAACTCCCTAAATTGATTAAAGAAGTTGCCTAGGGATTGATTTGGAAGGTTTGGTAATGTGGTTAAACATGTTGGTTTTAAGCAGTCTATAATGATCATACTCTCTTTGTTAAGAGAGATGAAGAGTTGATAGCAGTTTTTGTGTATGTGGATGACATTGTCATCATTGGAAGCTAGGAGTTAGAGACAGAGAAACTAAAGGAGTTTTTGGAATCATGATTTGAAGTAAAAAATTTAGGTCCACTGAAGTACTTTCTTGGAATCAAAGTCGTTAGATCTAATAAAGGCATCTTCGTTTCTTGAAGGAAGTACATTTTAGATCTTCCTAAGAACACTAGAAAGTTGAGGATCAAACTGGCCAACACCCCCACTGAGACCAATCATAGATTTGGGGAGACTGTTGGTGAGCCTCTTTCTAATATTAAGCAATTTTGGAGACTTGTTAGTAGACTGATATCTTTCTATGAAAAGGCCAAATCCAAATATTGCTTATGCTGTGAGAGGTCTTGGCTACCATATGCATTCTCCCAGGACCACACACCTTGTAACAATAGAATGAGTTCTTAAATACTTGAAGAACACTATGGGAGAGGTATCTTTTTCTCTTAACATAGGCACTTGAAAGTAGATGTTTATATAGATGTAGATTGGGATGGATCAGTTGCAGATGGGAGATCCCCACTAGGCTACTATACCTTTGTTGGAGCCTTGGAGAGTTGGAGATACTTTGGTAACATGGATAAGTAAGAAGCAAATATATATTTTTGAAAAGTAAAAATAAATTCCATTAAAAACACAGAGAATACAAGAGGAAGGTGATAAGATATCGCTCGAGAGAAGGGAGAAAAAACTAAGGCACAGCCTAATACATGACCGGCACAAACTACAGCAATCTAAGAAAAGAACAAAAGCACCTCTAGGACTAGACCCTTAGCCAGGCGCTAACTCACAATGCCCTCCAGATTCGGAAGAAAAAAAGCCAAGCGAAACAGAACACTTGTCTGATAAAGACTATAATCCGTCTACCTTTCAATGTAAATTCAATAAGAAAAGAAGATAGAGAATAGAAGAAGAGAAGAGAATAGGGAGAAGAGAAAACCGAAGAAGAGAAAATGGAGAAAGAGTGTGGTGGTTAGAGTTGCTGCCCTACTCAGCTATTTATATGTTTGCATTCTGAAAACATAGTGAAGTTCCACTAATGCTCCTGTTACCTACATAAACAATACAACTAACATAAACTACCATAACTAACATAAATACGTCAAACATAAAGAACATAAAACAAACATGCAGCAGTTGGGACCACATTAATAATTATTGCTCTACATCTCTACACTCCCCCTCAAGTTGGGAATAGATATTAGTCATTCCCAACTTGCGTAAATCTGTTTCCAACTTGATCATTGTAACTGCCTTAGTGAAGGGATCAGCAAGCTGCATATCAGAGGCAATGTATGGAAGACACTTTTGGAGAAGCAACTCTCTCTTTAATAAAGTGCCGATTCACTTCAATATGTTTAGTTTTGTCATGTTGTACTGGATTATAAGCAATGTTAATGGCAACTTGATTATCACAATACAACATTAGGGGCTTCTCATATGCAATGTCCAACTCCTCAAATAAGGATCTCAACCATTACACCTCAGCCACACTATTAGCCATGGATCTGTACTCAACTTCAACATTGGAACGGACAATAACATTTTGTTTCTTACTTCTCTAAAAAACAAGATTTCCCCCCTGCAAAAGCACAATACCCATAGGTAGATCTCCTATCATCTACACACCCAGCCTAATCAACATCTATGTATACTTCTATCTTCATGTGACCATTATTTTTGAAGAGTATGCATCTACCTAAACATCTCTTCAAGTATGTAAGTATCCTCTCAATTGCAAGAAGGTGAGTAATTCTAGGGAAATGCATATACTGGCTAACAACACTGACTGCATAAGAAATGTCTGATTGTGTTAGGCAAAGATAAAGGAGTTTCCCAAACGACCGTTGAAACATAACTTTGTCTTTAAGGGGCTCTCCATCTTT